GCCGTGTCCCGTGGACCGCCGTGGTCTGGATCGATCTCGGCCGTTCGTTGTGGATAGGGTTGATCTAGACCGTCCGTTCCGTAGACCGTTCCTCTGCACCCGGTCCACCGTGAACCCGAGCCGCTGACGCAATAATCTTCTTTTCCTTTTCAAAAATAATTCATTATTGCGTCATAATTCAATAAAAATCCATATAAGTGTTTTAATCCGATTTAATCTTTAAAAAATCATAACTAATTCATCTTAGCTCGGATTTAGTTGGTTCAAGTCTCTAAATTTTTCTAAAATTGAGATCTACATGTTAAAAATATCCACATGTACTGTTCAGGCTTGTTTATGTGCTGTTTTGGTGTTTTGCTCCTTTCTGTTTAGATTCCGACGTTTCCGGAGAGTTCGTTTTCGCAGGAGAAGAATTTGAAGAGTTCCAAGGCCAGCAAGGCAAGTCACACAGACCCCAAACAACCCTTTGAGCATGTTGATCCCGTTTAAAGCTATTGTTTCTATTCAACTATTGCATTTATTTTCGAATGTCATTGGGTGGAATTAACCTATTGTTTGTTATAGCCCTTTTGTTCTTGATTACTTTATTCCTTGATACCTTGGGTTATTATAACTTGACTAGTTGGGCTATATATATTGGTTCAGCTAGATATTAGATATGATTGCTTAGCCATGCTTAGAAACATTAGCACACTATTGGGATAACTTATGACTCACTATTATTTAATGATGGCTTAATGATAGCTCACGATGGCCAATCGTGATTGGTTAATTAATTACTTGCCAACTAAAACTTGATAATGGTGGGTTGTGAGCACATGGTTTTGAGAGTCGTGCTCATGACAATTAAGGACCGGTTCACGATTTTCGGTTGTGAAACATTAACCGTGCCAACCACAAGCCAGCGTGGGCAACGGCTTTACCTTTTGTATAGCATGGTTCGTTGCGGAGCACCAGTCTGAGAAGTGGTGGAGATAAGCCCACGGGGGTCGCTGGGGAGTCCATGCCTTGTTTATAAGGGGGTGACTATGATCCGGGAACGGTGCACTGTGGTGGATTGTGTTGTGCGAGGGGTAATGTGACAGCTCCTTTCCGAGGTACCGTGGTGGTATTGAGGCGCATGGTGACATGTTGTGGGGCTGTGTCTTGTGGGTACAGTGGTACACCTCTGGCCAGAGTAAAACTATTCGAATAGCCGTGCCCGCGGTCATGGGCGGGTCTAACAATGTCTTTCGTGATTAGTCTCACACTTCTCACCATAATAAATGATGATATAATTGGTAATAATTTGTTTAGCTCCTGGTTTGGAGATAGATTTGTGCAGCCGGGTATGGTTGTTCAGGATGGTTGGGCCTGTGCAGCATGGGTGTGCTGTTCAGTGTTGATTAATATTGATGATTAATTACTCTATTGTTTTATAATTCTCAAATGTTTGCTAAATGCTGCTTTTGCAAATGAGCCCTATATTATGCCATCCTTTGGTATCCATGTGCACTTGCATATTTGCTGTGTGGCTTGCTGAGTATGTCATATGCTCACATTGCAATAATCAATCAAACCTCAATTGAAGACAAGTTGCGAAGGAGAAGACGTTTGGCTTATACCCCAGTTGAGCTGCCTGTGGGAGTGGAGCCGGAGCTTCGCTAGACCGTAATTCCGCTGTTGTTTTCTTTTCTTTTGTAAGTATGTAACGCTATTATTATGATGGATTTGTATATTAAATTGTCAGTTTGTGTACCTCGGCTGATTCCTGGACAAGGATTTTATGCACAAATAAGTTCAGAAATTACTAGTGAATTTCTGGGCGTGACAGTCTTCTCGTTCATCAAATGGACGTTAAGACAGCTTTTTTAATGGAGAGCTGGATGAGGAGATCTATATGGATCAACCTGATGGGTTTGTAGTTGAAGGTCAAGAAGGCAAAGTGTGCAAATTGTTGAAGTCTTTGTATGGTCTGAAACAAGCTCCTAAGCAATGGCATGAGAAATTTGACAAAACATTGACATCTGCAGGCTTTGCAGTCAATGAGGCAGATAAATGTGTGTACTATCGCCATGGTGGGGGTGAGGGAGTTATTCTGTGCTTGTATGTTGACGACATACTGATATTTGGGACAAACCTTGAGGTGATAAATGAGGTTAAATCATTCTTGTCTCAAAATTTTGATATGAAGGATTTGGGAGTAGCTGATGTTATCTTAAACATTAAGCTAATTAGAGGTGAGAATGGGATTACACTCTTGCAGTCCTATTATGTGGAGAAGATCTTGAATCGCTTTGGCTATATTGATAGTAAGCCTTCTCCAACACCTTATGATCCTAGCTTGTTGCTTTGCAAGAACAAAAGAATTGCTAAGAATCAACTGGAATACTCCCAAATCATTGGCTCGCTGATGTACCTGGCTAGTGCAACTAGGCCTGATATCTCCTTTGCTGTGAGCAAGTTGAGCCGGTTTACCTCTAATCCGGGAGATGATCACTGGCGTGCGCTCGAGCGAGTAATGCGCTATCTGAAAGGTATTATGGAATTGGGGCTTCACTATACTGGGTATCCTGCGGTACTGGAGGGTTATAGTGATTCTAACTAGATCTCTGATGTGGATGAGATCAAAGCCACTAGTGGATATGTCTTTACACTGGGTGGTGGTGCTGTTTCGTGCAGGTCTTGCAAACAGACCATTTTGATGAGGTCAACCATGGAAGCAGAACTGACAGCACTGGATACTACTACTGTTGAGGCAGAATGGCTGCGTGATCTATTAATGGATCTGCCTATTGTTGAAAAACCGGTGCCGGCTATCCTTATGAACTGTGACAATCAAACGGTAATTGTCAAAGTGAATAGTTCTAAGGATAATATGAAATCGTCTAGACATGTGAAAAGACGATTGAAGTCTGTCAGGAAATTGAGAAACTCCGGAGTTATAACGTTGAATTACATCCAAACAGCTAGAAACCTAGCAGATCCCTTCACGAAAGGACTATCACGAAATGTGATAGATAATGCATTGAAGGAGATGGGTTTGAGACCCATGTGAGTTATACTATGGTGGTAACCCAGTCTATATGATCGGAGATCTCGTGAATTAGAACCTGGGAAGAACAAACCATTAGTAAACTAGAGGAGAGTACCAATCTATACCCTCTCTAAGTGAAGATGCATGTACTCTCGTGAGCTGCAAGGCAGGTTGGCTATGCCTTAATGAGTTCTGTTGGCTTTAATTAGCGAAGATGCTGTCCTGTAGAGCATTCTTGAAAGAACTCACCTTTGTAAGCTTGACTGTTGGTCGCAGTCTATGGAGATTTTGGGTGAATCTTCTAGGAAGCTTACAAAAACCTAGGAGTATGACTTATACGCTCCACCCGAGGGGTAGTCTACAGACGGTCTAGTACCAGATAAGACTATGAGTGAAACTTGCTTGCACAAGACTTGCAATTCAAGGCGTAGTCCATTGTTCAAGTTGTGAGTAAGTGTAGCTTGGAGTTCTAGGTGGATGTTCAACCTTAATCGGTCTCTATCGAACCGCTGGTATATAAACAGTACATTGGAAAAGGCAAATCTCAGTGGGATTTTGAGATTTGGTGGGGGATTGTTGGAATTAATAGATGGGCTAAGGCTCATTTGAAGATTAATTCTTTGGAAAATCACAAAAGCCCACCTCATGGGATGGCATGCATGTGGAGTTTAGTACCACCTTGCTTATTATAGGAGAGGGGGACCTCCTTAAAAGGGAGGATGCCCTCCCAGCCACTTGAAGCATGTGTGGTGGAGAGAAGAGGGGAAACACGCGCGCTCGCTCGCCTCGCCTGGCAGGGCAGGGCAGGCGGCGCGCGTGCACGACGTACGCGTCGAATGGTCCGCAAAATTGGCTCCTCACCCTTGCGCAGATGCAGCCTCATTTTGCAGTTTTGTTTTGCTGCAGGAAATTCGGATTTGTTTTGTTTTGGAAACATTCCGAAAAATCCGGTGCGTGAAAACGGCATGGAGTCCGGATAGGTTACGCGCGACTTATCCGGTTCGGTTTACGCGGGCGCCCTGATCAGGCGATCTATCTCTATATAAACTGAGCTGCCGCCTTCACGCAACACACGCAAAATTAATCTAGGGTTTGCCTCCTACTCTGTACTGCACCGTCGCTCGTAGACTACTCCATCCCTCTCGCCGGCGTGCACCGGCGATCGGGAGAGCAGGTCTCCGGAACCTCTGCCTTCGACGTCCTGCACCGGGAGAAGGCGGCAATAAGATTTTTAGGAAGTGCTTCGCGCGACTGCTCCCTGTTCGTCCGCGACGGCTCGCCTTCCTCTCCGCTCACGTGCTTCGCGCCTTCGTCGACGCTCGCAACCGCGAGTAGTTCCTGCCGAGCAACCGGTCTTTTCGCCACCTCGGTACATGTTCTACATGTTGCGCGTATTTGATCTGTTCATGCTTTACTGCTTAGTTTACATGTGTAGATCTAATGATGCGTTCAATCTAGTTTACATCTGCAATATCATGATTTATTTATGGAATAAATTAAATCATTATGTGCTTATAATTTCAACATCCCAAAATATAAGAACAACTATTTCTTTCGATGTTTCACAATATAAAACGTGCATACATGCATAAAATTAACTAGCACCATCATCTTCTCTCTAATTCATTCTTCTAAATCCTTTATCCTCAATATCTCTAACCTCATTAGATATGTGTATTGTATTGTATTTATTAAAGTGATCCAAACAAAAGGGTGATAGTAATTGTTTACTGATCTTTGCGTTAATGATGATTGTGCCCTATATTTTAGGATGAAGGAAATAATAGTAGGATGTGTCAAATTCAGTTTTAAACAACTATAGTACTCCTATATTTTAGGACAGTCCTGATATATGTGCCTAGGATCTCAAAAAGAAAAAAAGATATATGAGCCTAGGAAGCTGCAGAGGGTTGGGCAGAGCTGGGCCCATTTGGACAGGCCCAATATCTGAGGCCCATAAAAATCTCCATCCATCGAGGGTTCCCCTCCATAATCTCCACGCCTCCTCCTTCCTTCTTTAACCGCCGCCGCCGCAGCTTCATCGCCAAGCCACCTCCGCCGCCGAAGCCACCACCGCTTCCCTCCCACTCGGGCGAGCTCCCCCGTCTCTCCGTAGCCATGGCGAAGAAGAAGGACGTGGAGGTGGAGGAGTTGGATGAGGAGGTGGTTGCCGCTGCCGCCGCCCCCGCCGCGGACGGTGGCGAGGAGCAGGAGGCCGAGCCACCGGCGCGTCGGCCGTCGACGTTCGCGGAGCTGGGCGTCGTCCCGGAGCTGGTGGCGGCGTGCGACGCCATGGGGTGGAAGGAGCCCACCAGGATCCAGGCCGAGGCCATCCCCCACGCCCTCGAAGGTACGGATACCTACCCTAGCGCGCCACCGCCGCGGCCATGTCGTCGACGGCGATCCAGCTACTGATGGGCGTGCTGTGGTTTGCTTGCAGGGAGGGACCTGATTGGGCTGGGGCAGACGGGCTCCGGCAAGACGGGCGCCTTCGCGCTGCCGATCATCCAGGCGCTGCTCAAGCAGGACAAGCCCCAGGCGTTGTTCGCCTGCGTGCTGTCGCCTACAAGGTTGCCAAATCTTTAGACAAGAGTTCTCCATGTAGTACTGTACTTGTTTTTTTTTTCTCCTCGAGAGAAGATTCTCCGGTTGGTTTACTGTAACCATGAGGGGGTGTGCTTGTTCAGGGAGCTGGCTTTTCAGATTGGACAGCAGTTTGAGGCACTCGGGTCCGCGATCGGTCTGAGTTGCACGGTGGTGAGTGATTTTGTTACAATTTATTACAAGTGACAATATTTTTTTTGGATTATGGATAATGTGTATGCTTTCTCATCTCTTTATGCAGTTCACCTTTATCACATACCAAACAATCGATTGGTGTTTTATGAATGTTGTTAACAAGTTTTTAGAATAGGCTATGTAGCTGGTTAGTGCTCGCAATATAGGTTTTATCTAGCTGGCTAGTCTTTTCCCTGGATTTTGGTACACAATTATGGTCAATTGGTGTTTCGGTTGATGCTGATGTGCCAATCTGTGTTGGCTTCTTCCATCTGTTGGATGAGTGTCCACTGCAAAATATTTCCTTTTGTTTTGGTATTGCATCTGTTGGATATTGTAACACCTGCAGGAGCTATATTTAAATGCATTGGTTTATATTCTCTCTAATGTTAGTTTTTTTCTTCTTCTGACTATAATTGAATTTGCTGCTATTACATGCATAGATTCCTTGGTTATTATGCTCTTGTATGATTAAAAGCGAGTCCTCATATTTTCATCCATTACAACTTGTTGATGTTTTATTGACCACTATCAATTGAATTTCCCTTTCCCCAGCTTGTTGGAGGAGTTGATCGGGTGCAACAAGCAGTATCCCTTGCAAAACGCCCACATATTGTGGTATGTGTATTTTAGTAAATGATTTCCTCTACCTCATAAGACAATGTGGTTTTGGTCTGTTAACATCATTCCTATCCATGAGAACTTTGTTACATAAACCTGCTAGTACAAATGAGTGCTTTCATCCGGACTCTCAGGATATTTACTGTATCATTTCCCTCAAAACTTAGGTTGGAACTCCTGGACGTCTTTTGGATCATTTGACAGATACGAAAGGTTTTAGCCTTAATAAATTGAAGTACTTGGTATGTCCCCTCTGTTCTTTTTTTCCCCATGTTGCTTCTTGTTATTATTCATACTTCATTAAATAATTTGATATTGTGGCCTTGGATATATTTTTCAACATTTTCTAGTTCCACATATCAATATATTCTTGTCAAATCCATCTTTTATGACACCATGGTTTGCCCATCTTTAAAATTATGCTCCTTTTCCATTGTGTCAATTTTTCTTCTGTTTCATTCATACTCCAACTATTATCGACATTTTTGGGTATAATTTTTTACTTAATCGAGGCTCTGTCTGAATCTTGTGAGTTTTAGCAAGGCTGGATTTTTTTAGTCTAGATTTTGTTTTTTAAACTTAAAATATCATCTTTGATTGCTGCAGGTACAGCCTTTAAAAATGAAGGCTTTAGTAATACCTTTTTACTTGTTGAAATATATTTTTCACACTCTGTGCAGCAAAATTTAATTTTCATTTTATATTAATTTCCACCCCTCAAGTTTAAGTGTTACAATCACTATTAATAATTGTAAATATGTGTGATGCAATGGTAAGTACCTTGTCAACTATGTCATGACATTTGTAAATATGTGTTGAATATGGATCAATTATATTAGTTTTTCTAATTAATTGCTTTTTTTTTATGTGTCCTTATCTCTTTTTTTTTGGCTAGGTTTTGGATGAAGCTGATAAGTTACTTAATGTGGAGTTCCAGAAAGCCCTTGATGATATTCTGAATGTTATCCCTAAAGAACGGAGGACTTTCCTTTTTTCAGCCACAATGACCAATAAGGTTGGTGAATTGGTAGTTTTCAGAGAAGAATTATTATTCCTCTGGATTCAAGAAAGAACGGAATTAAACATTGCTGGTATCCCATCAATAGATTGTTTACTTTATCAGATTGATGTGGCCATGCTAGCAGCTTAGGTTAATATTATAATTATGACACTGGTTTATAAATTCTTGAGGTAATGAAATGGTAGACATTCTATTTATTCTGACGTATGCTGTATTGCTACTGTGCTACCATTTACTGATATTTTGTATTTTCTAAATCATGGCCTATTTTTATGGCACCTGATGGCTATTATGCTATCTATTTGTTTACATTTAGACTGAATTTGGTTTTCTTTGCAATAACGTCTATTTTCTCCAGGTTTCTAAACTGCAGCGTGCTTGTCTAAGAAATCCTGTTAAGGTAACATTCTTTCTCCATCTTTCGGGCATGATGGGGACCTTTTCAGGTATCTTATTGTTTGCTAATAGTCTCAACTTTTCATTTCTGCGATCAGGTCGAGGTAGCGTCCAAATATTCTACAGTGGACACACTTAGACAGGAGTTTTATTTTGTTCCTGCAGATTACAAGGTCAATTCTTATCCCTTATAATTGGTCTATTGACGTCCATGTGGTTTTGATCTTATTAAATTGGCTGCATGCTGACTGATGGTTCTACCCTTAATGTCCTTATTAAGAGTCATAACAAAGCACCATCATTGGTTGTACACACGCAACATCACTTTGAAACTTATCCGGTACATTTAATAAGCAATCCTGAAAAATGTTGCTCATGATGAATTGAAAGCCTTGCATAAGTCATTACATGATGTTGCCCACATCATGGTAGAGTGCCATTTTCATTCGATGTTCTGATCTTTCTTATTTATTATTCCAGGATTGTTTTCTCGTTCATGTTCTGAATGAGTTGCCAGGGAGCATGATCATGATCTTTGTCCGGACCTGTGAATCAACAAGGCTCCTTGCTCTCACCCTAAGGAATCTTCGTTTTAAAGCTATCTCTATTAGTGGCCAAATGAGTCAGGTTAGTATGCTTTCCTTTCAAATAGAAATTGTTCGTTTTCTCATTGAGTTATCCTTCAATTTAGAACTTACAAGGTAGAAGTGAATGCAAATGTTTGTTTTTCCCGTACAATGCTTATCTTACATTTGTCTTCTTCTTTTTTTTTAATTTCTTAGGATAAGAGACTAGGCGCCTTAAACAGGTTCAAAACGAAAGACTGCAATATCCTTATTTGCACCGATGTGGCAAGTCGTGGTCTTGATATTCAAGGAGTTGATGTGGTTATCAATTATGATATTCCAATGAATTCCAAGGTTTCTACTTTAGTACCTTTCTCGATTTACATTTTGAAGATGCCTTTTTGTATGTGACTTAACTTCCTGTGCCAAATGTAGGATTATGTTCATCGGGTGGGTAGAACAGCACGTGCAGGGAATACAGGATATGCTGTATCTTTGGTGAATCAATACGAGGCCATGTGGTTTAAGATGATAGAGAAGCTCCTTGGTAATTCTTATCCTTGTTACTTCTCCCTTCTTTCCATTTGTAACTGGAGGGCGTGTCATTCTGAAATCTGTGGATCTGTTTATCAACTATTTTTTTGTAGGATACGAGATTCCTGATCGTAAGGTGGATAACGCAGAAATCATGATACTTCGTGAACGTATCTCTGACTCGAAGAGGATTGCGCTGACGGTATGTGCTCATTCTCTGACTGTACTGTCAATTCGAAGTGTTTTACTCTTGTGTCACCCTGGCGGTGCCCCCTCAATATTCTGCAGAACGGATGCACACCTGCTTCCGACGACCTGAATGTAGATAGTTCGTCTTGTTCTTGTTGTGGTAGAGCCTTGTGTCTTGAATCGTACGACTTCTTATGTGCGAATTGATTTTTACTTGTTCTTGCTGTCTGATGCAGACGATGAAGGAGGGCGGTGGCCACAAGAAAAAGCGGAGGAAGAACGAAGATGATGAGGAAGAGGAGGAGCGCAATGCTCCTGTTTCCAGAAAATCGAAGTCCTTCAACAAATCAAGAAGACGGTGAAAGCATTGGAGCAAGTGATCGTGAGGCGAGCTTGGGATGAGTTAGATTAGTATTATACTGGCATACCACCGCCACAATTTTATGTAACCATTCAAGAATAGATATTTATGTAGGTCCATTTCGACGAATTAGCTATTTTATTATTTGTGAAGCTGGATCTTGGAAAATTTGCTCATCTGTTGCTACAAAAGCATATATGGAAAATTTGCTCATCTGCTTCCACAAAAGCCGGTGGCATCAGGTGATCTGGACGAGAGTCATTGTACTATAGTACTTTCTCCGGATTGATAATACTTATCGTTTTAGATTTGTCGTTTTAGATAAGAGCACGGTCTTTAAAAATAACTTTGACCATTATTTTTTATTATAATATTTAAAAAAATGTTAACAAATATATGATTTTATTAAAATACTTTTCTAAGACTAATCTATATATGTAATCAATATATTTGAAAGATAAATATTTTAAAAATGATTCATAATTGTCTAGTTGTCTTAAACGAATGTATTATCCGCATGGAGAGGGAGTATATCTGATCAGGGAGCATTCCGCCCAATCTTACAGCTGTCTTCCAAACTTGGGGTCTCGGGCCTTTCACGGGAGTGTTTTTTTTTTACAAAAACTTTATTTATAAAAGGTTTTTTTTAAGAAAATCAAATAAGCTGAAATAAAGGTCTTAGGGTATCAAAATACTCCCGCCATTCCAAAATATAAGGTATAACCGCCCCTAACTCAAAGACCAAGAAAATAATTATTATCATCTTGTAGTTTGGATCATCCTAATAAATACAATACATGCATCTAATAGAATTAGAGAACATGAGAGTGGAGGATTTAAAAAATTAATAATTTAATAGAGAAGGGGTCATAGTTAATTGCCTACATGCATACATGCCTTATATTATGAAACATCTGGAAAAAGTGGTTGTCCCTTATATTATGGATTACAATTTGTCGTGGTGGACGCACGCAACCCTTACGCATGAGTTCTTAATTCCCTCCCTGCGGTCGTGGACATTGTCTATTTAAAGTTTAACTATGTGGCCATGTGGGCAACGTGAAAAAGAAGAATATTTACTTTTCAACCATGATATGCTAGTTCATCATCCGCATGACCAGGCCCAGAACCAGTATTTCAATTAGCAGCATCGGAAAGTCACAGAAATGTGCAGTAGTACATCAGGATATGTCCAAGTCCTGAATTATAATTAGAAAACCTTTGGCAACTTGGCATCTAAAAAGAACAGCTAAATCTTCTACATCAACAGAAGGAAACGCCTCAAAAGGCTCAAAGCCCTCCAAAGAACATTGGAGGAAAAGCCTCCAACGACCAGCCGCAACCATTTCCAGACCCAACCAGATCAGTTGTCTCCGTTAGCATCATCTTCACTGTCCCTCTTCCTTTTGTTTGGCTGAGCTGATCCTGAAGACCCTTTGCTTCCATTCGCCACTTTGCTTTCATCTTCTTCATCGGCACCAGCTTCATCCTCTTCATCTTCAGCCTGAAAAAAGGTGCAGATTAAGTTAGCTGACACAAATATGGAGCCATAAGTAAAATGTGATCTGCACTAAGACCCACAAAGGAACAGTATGAGCGTGCTACAACAATGTAGACTGAGATTTCACAACATTACAATCCACAGCAACTGCCTCGCCATTTGGCTACCAATGAACATAAATCAAGGACACAGACACCCATTCCATGTTAATTTGAAGGACCAAGCATATCCTATTAAATGACGAGCTACCTCTCCTACTACATTGAATAGGGGTATATATAGTTGAAATGCTGCAACAACCATGTTTTTTATTTCCTCAATGGACAAACATTTTGAGAAGGCGAATTCCTGAGTCAACAGACAAGAATTGTGAAATGGAGGGAAATAGTGTCTTTATGGGAAAAAACAAACAAGCAAACTAAAGAGGTCCTGATGCTGTGATAACAACATATTATAATTGATGAAGCTTTTGAGTTTTGAGTATACAAAGATAAACAGCCTGACAAGGCATAAAAGAGCAATGAATTACACTATATGAAGTCTTACCCTAGAAATTATTTTTGGTTGATTCGTTTACTTTTCTAGGCTTATCAGCCATAGCTCAACCAATCAAGCATTGATAGTTTATAGTAGTGCAGCTAAGATGTGCTATCGCAGGCCCAAAAACTATTAACAAAAAATAAAAGGATGAGAGCGCAAATCATCCATGTGGAAGAATGATTGATTGGTCAGGAACCATTTCTTATCAAGCTTGTATGATAAAAATTCCAAATTTTCAAAATTCTACACTAAATGGAGTGCTCTCTTGGACAACAACATAACTAAGAAGCAATATTCGGTTAGTCCTAAGATTTCAGCGCAGATTGGCGAAAAAAAAGGAACAATCCAAACAGTATGATAGTTCCCAACACCAAACAACAAATTACTGACTAATTAAGTGAATCAAAAGGAACAAAGAGTACTAATATATAATTGATCCCATTTATCGATTCGCAATTTGCAACTTGTCAACTATGCAAGACCTACATATATTTACAGTAACTAGAACAAAATTCTCACCTCCTCTTCACCTTCTTCCTCATCCTCTTCTTCATCTCCTTCCTCTTCGTCATCCTCATCACCTTCCCCTTCCTCTCCACCCTCCTCTTCTTCTTCTTCATCACCTTCCCCTTCACCCTCCTCTCCCTCATCCTCCTCTTCATCCTCCTCGTCGTCGGAATCCAAGCAGTCGTTGCCCTCGGCGTCCATGCCGTCCAAGAACTTGAGGCTGGGGATCAGCGCGAACACCTTGTCCCTGTACCCCTTGGCCTTGGTGACGGGGCACTGGTACAGGTCGAGCGACTCGACCCCGTGCGGCGCGAGCGGCGCCAGCTCGGCGACGTCGGCGAAGCGGTTGTTCCCGAGGTCGAGGTGGCGGAGCGTGGCGCCGCAGGACTCGGCGACGGCGGCGAGGGAGGCGGCCCCCGAGAGGCGGTTGTCGGGGAGGGAGAGGCGGCGGAGCGCCGGGAGGCGCGGGAGGCCCGCGAGCGAGGAGAGGCGGGCGCCGGCGACGGAGAGCTCCTCGAGGGACGGGTAGCGGCCGAGGAGCGACGGCGAGGGGAGGCGGCCGGTGGTGGACTTGACGGCGCCGTCGAGGGTTAGGGTCTTGGGGGCGGAGAAGGGGGCGTTCTTGACGGCCGCCGCGATGGCGCGCTCCCACGCGGCGTCGTCCTCTCCGGGGGCGGCGGCGTCGGCCATGGCTCGCGGCGGCGGCGGCGGCGATGCGGGGGACACAGAACCCTAGCTAAAACCCTGGGAGTGGGAGCTTCGGAGTCGAGTGGTTTGCGTTCGAGGGGTGGATGCAGCGGTGGGCCTAACTAGAGTGGGGTTCTCTTCGGCCCATTCTATAGATTTCTAGTAGCCCAACTTGAATTGTACTCCTACATTGGAATAAGGATTTTTTTTTATTTTTAGATTTTTTTTTAAATATTTACAGAAATAATCTATCGGCAAAAAAATTACAAAAATAGACCCTGCCGCCCCAAAGGTGGGCGGCAAGCTGACGTGGCAGACGGCGGGCCGACCGCGCCGTCTGCCGCCGTCGGCCAAAATTGCATTTAGCCCCTTGCCGCCCCGGGGCTAAATGCAATTTTGGCCGCCCATAAAGAGGTTGCGGCAAGGGACCCAGATGAAAAAGTACCACCAAATGATTTTTCTATGTTATGTTAATAATAATTAAAGAAGTATTTATTGGTAAAACTTGTTAATATTGTTATAAAAATGTATTGAAGTTGGTTGTTTCGCAATTTCATATGTTAAGTAAGGTATTATTTTGTAACTTATTCGACGTATTAGTACTCGGATAATTAATATAGGCCTATCGCAGTGTCGGTCGTAGAAACATTGTATGGATTTAAACAAGGAGAATTATGTAACATGAAGAAATAGTAGTACAATTTGAACATGATACAACTATTTCCATTGCGGTTACATAGATGATATTAGATTCGAACTAGGAGGGAGGTAGTGCAATAGTTGAACACAACGATGATGTAGTAATGGGACAAGGAAGCATGACAGTAGAAATTTCAATATGCCAATTTGTCCGATAATAGCTAACCCCTACGTGAGGATCCCTCTCCTCTCTCAAACCGCGCTTTAGTAACCCTGTATTGCTCTGGTAGTTCAAGCTGCACAACACGGCTAAGTGGAGTTAGAACTCTTCTGGTGTTTATCCATTCTCTGTATTGATATCTCCTTGGTGGTTCCTGGGAGGAAAGAATAGATGTGAAGCGAGCAACGTTAGTAAATGTTGTGGGAAAATAAGGATTCATGTAATCAAAATATTCTTACCATGAAATCGTCGTCAAGAATATTTGGACAAACAAAGAACCTTCGACCCAATGTTGTAGGCTTTATGGAACGAAGAACCTGACAACGATCACCACACCTGCATCTTGGACGGGCTTCCCATGGAGGGAGTGCCGTAGTTAGCACCCGCCAGTCGCTCTGTTGTTCACGACATTGTCGTTCATAAGCCGCTTTTCTCTTTAAGTATTGCTCAGTACTTTCGGATGCGAAATACCAGCGACCTTCTTGTAAACAAGTGGTTAGGTCGAGAACGGGATTTTCTGTATCGACCCACTCAATGTATGCGCAAGCCGTAGTGCGGGTCTGCCGAATAGAGTAGTGTTACGAAGAATAAAACGATTGCCCATACGGAATGAATAAGTATATGTAGATAATAAAATACCTCACGGTCATAGTTAGGGCACCTAAAAAAGCGCCTTCCTCGAATATCAGGATTCCTCGAAGCCATTAGTTGGCATCGATCACCGCAGAGGCAGAGAGGACGCTGGCACCAAGGTGGTAGTAGGTATACACAAGGATCGCTATGCCAGTTCGGATCCTCAACGCCCCGACGTCTAGCCATTGACGAAAGCCGGTAGGATTTGTAATGAAGGAAGTGGGGAAGTGGGGAAGAGTGTACTGAATGTGACTGAGTTCTGAAAGATTGTGAGGCCTCACTCGTTAAGGCGACTTATATAGGTACAAAAAATCGAGTGATATCCCTGACATGTGAATGTGGCGGGTCATGGTGGGTACGCCTGATTGGCGCCAAAAATTACATGCCTGATTGGCGCCGAAAGTTACATTGGTCGTATGCGGCAAATGGCGGGCAAATACTCGTATCGCACGCGAATAAAGGAGGCTGCATCGGTGCGGCAGAAAGTAGTCATGCATGTGCCGAAAGGTATCGTGCATGCGCCGAAAGGTATCGTGCACATATAACAACAACGTATTCATGACACAAGCATACAGTACTTGCATGTGAAGCAAATAAACAAAGAGAAGTCTGCTCTACTGGCCCTGCCCCGTGCCGCGACCATGCTTGGTCCTCCGGGCCTGTGCTCGCACGTGGTCCTGGGAGTAGGTGAAACGATCCGGTAGCACAGCACGGGTAGCACGAGTGTCTGGCGGCGGAGTGGCCTGCGCCTGGTCCTGCGTCTGCACCGGCGGTGCGCCTCCCAGCTGTGAGGGGCCGATGACGTCCTCTGTCGAGCCTGAAGCAAAGTCGAAGTCAGTGATGTCGAAGAGCAAGGTGGAAGGCACCAAGTGGTCCGACGAGGTCCCAGCATGGTCCAGTGGTGGACCCTGACTCGACGTGCCGGCTGCCTGTGACGAAGTCCCGATGTACTGCCAGAACTGCACTGAGTGCGATGTCGACGCAGCTGCCTGAGACGCTGACCCTGCAGCCTGGGAGAAGTGGGCGGCCTGCGTCATAGCGAACTGGGTGAAACCTACACATCGACAACGGGACCCTTGTAAGCTAAGACATAAAATGCATGTAAATTGATTATCGAAGTAATGTTTTTTTAAGTACCTGTGGGGGGCACAACAGAAGGCCTAGCCGAGGAATGCGGGGTGCTGAACGGTGCATGAAACCCTGGAGCAATCGGCAAGTGAAACGGCTCACATAGATGTGCGAGGCATGTACAGAAAAATCCTTAAAAATACTTACCTCCGTGCGGAGGGGGAGTCGGCCTAGGAACGTGCGCAACTGGACAGGGACCAGTCGGTACGGGTGGCCGCTGTACAGCTGCGTCTGCCCGAGCAATGTCGTCTGCATGACAAGTGAAAACTCGGAGAATCGAGCGCATCGACTCCACCATCCGCGTGTACGTCGTCAGGTGCTCCTCTACGGGTACCGGAATCCCCGCGCCTAAACGTTGGATCGTCGTTGAACCGTCAACGACGACTCGGTTGATGTCGTCGACCTGCATGGTTAATTTGTTCGTACATATTCGTAAAATTTGACGAAGAGAAAGACCTGAAAACATTAAGGAATGGTGCGATGCAGGGTACTCACAGCACGAGCGAAGTCGTGGTCGCGGTGCCTGGCGTAGAGGTCTCTAGTGCTCGCAACGTGGGCCTGCTGCTCCAAGGGAGCGAAACGTGCCGTCAGATCGTCCTTCCAGTCCACACCCGTGGTCACTAGCCCAACAGCGTCTCCCGCGAGCGGTAGCCCCAACAAGTACGATACGTCCTATAGGGTAGGGGCTACCTCACCACACGACAAGTGAAAAGTGTGCGTCTCTGGCTGTAAGTAGTCGTGAACCGTAAGTAGCTCACCACACGTCCGTGCCCGGAACGTCCCAAGCTGAGCCCCCTACACCGCAGTAAGGTGAGACCGGTGTCGGTGATCTATCGCCGGGTCCAACAACTGAGGTGTATCCTGACGTTCCATCTCTGGAAAATATAGTGTTTCGTGTTAGAACAATTCAAAAAGTAGTAATGTAAAACAAAAGATAACTGGTAAAATTATGAAATAGTAATAAAATCATAAGAATAATTATGTACAGCAAGAGTACAGGCTATTTAAATATAGCAAACGTTACTAAGGGTACATAACGATGACGTGCAATTTAACATATATGTAGAGTTCGATAATATAACATAACATAACATAACATTACGTGTCGAAGTCCGACATTACATCAGCATACCTAAAGACACTATGCCTTAGTCTGACGTTACATCACGAGACCTAAAGACATGACATACCAAAGTCTGACATTACACGACGAAACATAAACACATCGATAAGTTCGAAACAAATTACAAGCAAAGCCACATGGCAACATAGAACACAAGAACTACACCACGTAGCCAGACGTGGCACGACGACGCCTAGGACGTGGTCGAGTGGAGGTAGTGCCTTCACCCGTAGGGTGAGCTCCATCTGCTGCTGATCATGATAGTCCTGCCTCCGCCGCACTTGGTTTCTCCTTGTCTTTAGGACAATGCTTGTAGGTGTGCCCACGTTCATCGCATTTGCTGCAACGCTTCACCCTGCCAGCCTCCAACTCGTCCATATCGTTGCGGATGCGACGAGTCTTCCTCCTTCCAGCCTTGCCTCGGAGCTTCGATGGGTCACGAATATTGAGTACTTCATCATTAGTCTCTGTGAACTCCCCAGCTATGCCGAACCCATAAATCTCGTCGCTCCATGTATGATATATTGCTTGCTTACTGAAGTACTGTGACACATATACTGCATCTGGTATGCCACACTCCGCTGCGGCAGCAATGACATGGGTGCATGGCCTGTGGAGCAGCTTCGGCTTTGCACAAGAGCAATGACATGTGTCGTCGGCTTTGAGAACACACTCCTGTTTCACTCTCTTGCGGTAGATACCCCTGCCTGCCTTATCTTGACATAGTATCTCAAACCTGTGCTATTGGGTACCTTGCACTAGAGCTTGATGTTTCATAGCCTTTTTACGCAACTCCTCTAGCTTTTTCTGCATGAAAGTTCCGAACAAAATGCTGTTGTTCGGCATAGAGGGAAGAACTGCCTGGAACCGATTCCTAAAATACCTGCATGTCCCATGTAAAATGAACTCCACTATGCCAACTAGTGGCAGTCCACGGACACCGCGCATCACCCAGTTGTATACTTCTGCCAAATTTGTTGTCATTATTCCATATCTAGCACCACCTGTGTCATACGCCTTGGCCCATTTCTTTTTTGGTTCATGCAGAATCCACTGAGAAAATTTCCGAATCTCCACTCCAGTTCTTCTAACCAATGTTGGACTATCCGTTGGGAGAGGTCCAAGAGCTTGAGGAGGGTCAGCAACGGCGGTCGATGGAGCCGCTGCACGCTGATCACTGCATTTGGCTGTCAACTCATCTAATCTCTTCCAAAGCTCATTGAATTTTTTCTCCTGGTTCTGAATGCATAGCCTCTTGAACATGTTCATGAGCTCCTTGTTCTTGAATTGCTTGAAGAAATTAGCTCCCATATGACGCATGCACCACTTACTCTGTACATCTTCCCACTCACCAGGGTATCCTCGTTCCATACTCCCA